TGGTGCGTGCCTGTCATCCCGGCACTCGCAGGCTGAGGCAGGAGATCACTACGAGTTCGAAGTCAGGCTGGGCTACACAGTGTGGGCTACACAGTGAGTTCAAGGCCAGCCTGGACTGCATAGTTAGACTGTCTCAAAATAACAAAACAAATAAAAAAGCTGAACATGTGTCACAGGGCAGAGAGTGTGTTTTTGTAGGGTAGAGCTGCAGTTACCATGCCCGCCTCAAAGTCGAGATCCTCCTGCCTCAGCCTCCAGAGGAACTGGGATTATTACATGCAAGAACCACGAAGTCCAGCCGGGTGTGCGTTTTGACTCAGCCCCCAGCCCGGGCTCACCTCAGTCTGGATTCCTTTTCTGGTTGGTCAGGCTTGGAGTCTGCTCCTGGAAGCCTTCCCTGGGAAAAGTGATTCTTTTCTAATGCATCCCGGACCACGTGGGTCACCGGGATAGGGTCAATGGTCACAGTAAGCATTGCCCACAAAGGACAAAGGGCGACCCTGCCCCCCCCTCCCAGCACTAAGAAGGGCTGAGAGACTGCCAGAACTGCCCGTGGGCGGTGCCCACGCTCTGGAGCTCGCTGTCCTGCGGGCCGTCAGGGCAAAGCCACCAAGCGCGCTCCCGCGTGATGCGCTAGGGCACAGAGGGAACTGGAACAGGGACGGGAGATTAGATAACCTGGGTCAGTGTCCAGTCGGAGGTTAGGTAAGAGCTCCTGTTCCCAGCCAGGGGCCAGAGGGCACCGGTGCACGCAGGACTCACCTTCAAGCCATCGGAAGGCACAGGCGCCTGTGCAAGTGTTATCTCTGCGCCCATAAGCGAGCGTCTGCGCATGTGCATGTTGCCTGGGTGTGTACTCTAATATGTGTGTGTGTTTCCCCATATATCTGACTTTATTGTTTTTGTTTCGTTTTGCTTTTCTTTAGCAGGGATCGAACTCAGGCTCCTCCCTCCTTTAGCCCTCTCTATGTATTTATTTAGACCATTACTTTTCACCGACTTCTTCCTGCCTCAGCCTTCCAGGTGCCAGGATTCCAGGCAAGTGTTAAATCACCCATATTTGGGAGGGAGTGACGTAGGCTTCCATTGTGTAGTTCAGGCTGGCCTTGAACTCACCATGTAGTGGGGATCCTCCTGCCTCAGCCCCCCGAGTGCTGAGATGCCAGGTGGACACCACCACAAGCCTGTCCACTTTCTTTTCTTTTAAGAAAGGGTCTCACTAAATCACCCAGGCTGGTCTTGAACTTACGATGCTGTTGTCTCAGCCTCCCATGCTGCTGGGATTAAGGTGTGTACTTCCACATCCAGCAACCTAATATGTATTTGCAGTGCTGGGAACGGGTCCTTGCGCATGCTCGGCAAGTGCTCTGCCGCTGAGCTACGCCCCAGCCCTGGGTGTGTATTTTATGTACACTTATCTGCATGTATTTCACCAAGTATGTGTATGGATGCATGTCTGCCTTACTGCATATAAATGCGGCTCTCTCCATATGTATGTCCATGTGTATTTCATGCATATCTCAGGGTATATTACTGTGCCTGTGCAGATATTCTATATGCCTGTGTATATAGTATATATAATGTGTAGATTACATATGCATGTATTTCTGTGTACATAAATATGTGTGTGGGGCCAGGGAGATGGCTCAGTAGAATAAGCGCTTCCCTGGCAAGCGCAAGGGCCTGAGTTCAATCCCTGGTTCTGCAAAAAAAAAAAAAAATATATATATATATATATATATATATATATGTGTGTGTGTGTGTGTGTGTGTGTCTATATCTACACATAGATGTATATAATTATACCTTTTTCCATAAATGTTTGTGTGCCTATAATTCATATATCTCTATGTAGTTGTATGTGTGTTTCTGTATGTACATATTTCCATGAATGTTTCTATCATTGCTTTTGGGGGGGTTGTTTGTTTAGTAGGCTTTTATTGAGACAGTGTCTCACTGTGCAGTCCAGGCTGGCCTTGAGCTCATGTTGATCCTCTTGCCTCGGCCTCCTGAGTGCTAGAATTGCAGGCATGCGCACCACCACGGTGGCCGAAGATACTTATTATCTCGGGGCAGCTAGGCCAGGTGGGCTGGGCCTGCATCTACTGCGGTTGCTGCCAGGTGTCAGGGAGGCTGCAGTCACCTAGAAGCCTGCCTAGAGCTGCAGAACTGCTCTGTACACAGCTGCGATCTGGGGGTGGTGGCACAGGCCTGGAACCCCAGCACTGCAGATGCTGAGACAGGATTGGTGTGAGTTGGAGGCCAGCCTGGGTTCCATAGTGAGACCTTGTCTCAAAAAAAAAAAAAAAAAAAAGCAGCAAGCCTCCCACCGGGGGCTCCATCCCCCCAGGGAGTGTTCCAAGGTGATGACCTATCCATTTAGTCCTAGTATCTGCTAGGAATCTGGCTGCTGTTCTTAGTTTAAACATTCCTGTGCTGAGGGATAAGCACCCCTTCTCCCATCCCAGCAGGGGCTCCTGTAGTTGGAGATGGGAAGACCCCCAACACCTCTGGATGCCACGTCCTGCCCAGGCTGAGACCACACAGAGACAGCACTCAGCCTGTGACTGGAGATACAGCTCTGTGGCATGGTGCTTGCCTGGCAAATATAAGGTCCTGAGTTTAATTTTCAGTACAAAAATAAATAAATAAATAAATAAAAATCTTCATCCTGCTTCCCAGCGGCTGCCCACAGTCCACAGCCATCTTCCTCCTGGCTTTTGGTGTTTTTAAAAAATGTATTTTATTTTTTAATGTATTTTAAAGAGAATAGAAAAATAATAAATAAGACATTACACATTTTTTAAAAACCAAGATGATAGGTATTCAACAGTGGTCATTATACTGCACATTGCTGTCTTCAATGTAGTTGCTCACATATAAGCATATTCCATGATTTTGATGTTTTGTTTCGTTTTTCAGAGGTCTTTCTTTTTTTTCTTTTGGTCTTTTTGAGACAGGTCCCCCTATGCGGTGTAGGCTGGCCTTGAGCTCACCTCGTAGCCCAGGCTGGTCTCAAACTCCCAAGGCTGCTCCTGCCCCAGCCTCCCAGTGCTGGGGTGACAGGGGCGCACCGCCATGCCTGGCAAGGTCCTGGCTCCTTCAACCTGCTGTGTAGCTCAGCTCACCCTCAAACTCATGATCTTTCTGCCTTGACCTCCCAAGTGCCAGAAGCGTTGTTGTCTTTCCTGGTAACAGACTCAGCTCCCAGCCTATGTTTCTCGCTGTTTATCTGGACCGAGAGCAGCCAGGGGTCAAGGTTAGGGAGGGTGGTATCACCACAGGTACCGGGTGCTCAGGAGAGTTGGGAGTGACTGTGTGGGGCGGGGTTGGAGGGCATATTCCAAAGAGCAGCTGCAGGATGAAATCCCGGAGCTTTTCATAAAGCCGGTATCAGGTGACTCTCTGAGTTCTGTCATGTTCTTGGTTTTTGTTTTCTCTGCACTGGGGACTGAACAGGCTTTAGCACTGATCCGTATCTCTAGATACTTATTTATTTAGATGCCAGATCTTGCCAAGTTGCTAAATTGCCCCAGCTGGGGGCTCCAGCCTACAACCGTTCTGCCTCGGCCTCCTGGTTTCTGAGCTTACAGGCAGGTGCCACCGCCTCCTCATCTCTCAGTTCCCCTTCTGCTGTTTTTGAGCTGTCTGAAACAAGACACCAGAGAAGTCACTAGAAAGCAACTCTAGCAAAGGCCTTCGTGGGGAGAGTGGACCATTGTCCTGGGGGCAGGCAGCAGGGCAAGGAACGGTGGTCCGGAATAGCCTGGGAGGCCCCACCACCATCAGAAACAGGCTGAGGCCTGGGCAGTGGCAGGCCAGATGGCAGCAGCCTAAGCCACCAGAGCCGGAATTTCCTCTTGCCCTTCCAGTCTGCTGGGATTCGGGGATAGGCTGCCCTGGCACCAGGCCCGGCCTGGCCAAGTGCTTGAGTGGCTGCAGGGTGCGAGATTTCACATTCCAAAGGCTGTGGCTGCTGGCTGCCGGCCCTGATGACTGGACTCGGTTCTTTTTTTCTTTCTTTCTTTCCCAGTTTTCTGAGCTCACCTGCTCTGCGGTTCTTCCTGGCATGCAGGATTTCTGTGCCAACTGCCATGAGGAAGTGGATGCCAAGGAAAGCTTAGCCTGGGGGCATGAACAACTCCAGAGGCTCGTTCTGGTCATCTTGTTTCCCGGCCTGTCCATCTTCAGGCTCAGAGTTTTGGGGTCTCTGCACCAGCCCACGAGCTGCACACAGGGCCCTGGACTGGGACCCACAGAGCTTTTCACTGAATGGAGGAAGCAAGCAGACAAGCAGGGAGTGGGGAGGAGAGGAAGGAAGGTGGAAAGGGAACCTTCTTCCCCCGTGCCTTAGGTTTTTGCTTGAATCCGGAAAACCTGAACGGTACGACCTTGGTGGAGAGGGATGGGAACCGGGCTGATGCCCGGAGCTGTGGTCTGAACAATGCGGAGCCCCACCAGGGCGCTGGGAATTTGAGGAAAGGAGGCGTGGTGGGCAGTGAGGACGCTCAAGAGTATCACTGACACATCCGCGATGACAGCCCGGCCCGGCCGGGAAGGAGCCGGGGCCTGGAGCCGTCTCTGGGGTGCGAGGTGAGCTGCGGCTTGGTCTGGGGCCTGCGGGACCGTGGGCGGCTTCCCGGAGGCGGCTGGGCCCAGGCGCACCTCCGAAGCAGGCAATTCGCATCGCCCTGGTTCCCAGCGTGACTCGGTGGCAGGAAGGAGGAAGGTCACCAAGTCCGGGACGGCCTGGGGACCACCCCGGAATACGGTGGCTAAGGGATGGTCGAGCGGCCGAAGGAAGGTCACATGTCCCACGGTTGCCAGACAGAGGTAAGGTCAAGGGGCGCTGTGGTTCAGCATCCCCCCAAATCCCCTGAACTGCAGGAGAGACCCGGCCTCCGGACGCACGCAGGACCCCACCCTCCGCCCGCGCCCCGCCCCGCCCCCCCACCCCTGCTCCAGCTCTATAAAACCCGGCGTTGGGCTCAGCTGGGGACGTCCGAGCCTGTCGGGACTGAGGCTGCGCACCTCTGTTCTCCACGACTCCAGCTCTCTCCTCTGCGAGTCTCCGCGCTCACCATGCGCTGCGCCCCGACGGCCGGTGCGGCCCTGGTGCTGTGCGCTGCCACCGCCGGGTTGCTGAGCGCGCAGGCCCGCCCCGCGGACCCTGAGCCGCAGCGCCCCGCGTCCTGGGACGAGGTGAACGTGCTGGCGCACGGGCTGCTGCAGCTCGGCCGCGGGCTGCGCGAACACGTGGAACACACTCGCGGGCAGCTGGACGAGCTGGAGCGGCGCCTGGCCCAATGCGGAGCGGCGTGCCGGGGACCCGGGGCGACCCCCGCTCCCTCTAGGGACCCTGGCAGTGCGGTCGCCCGCGGCGAGGAGCCACCCGAGACCCTCCGCGGCCTGCAGGTCCGTGTGCCCGCGGGCTGTGTGGACGGGATGGGGCGCGCATCATCCCCTCTGGCCAGGGCCCCTTGTGACGGCCCCAGAGGAGGCACCTGGGGAAGGAAGGACGGATGAATGGGGAGGCGGCCGGAGTAAAGCCGGTCCTCACCTCACCGCCGCGGTCGCCCTCCCTAGACTCAGCTCAGGGCTCAGAACACCAGGATAGAGCAGTTGTTCCAGAAAGTGGCCAAGCAGCAGCGACACCTAGAGAAGCAGCACCTGAGAATCCAGAATCTACAGAGCCAGGTACGGAGGGCTGGCCCAGGTCGGGAGGGAGGACAGAGCTGAAACTGCAGGGTGGGGCATGGAATCGGGCAGCGTGGGCAGCACCACCCCGCTGGGCTGCGCCGACCGCGCCCTCTCCTCCTGCCGCAGGTTGACCACCTGCCTCCCATGCACCTCGGTAATGGGGTGTTGGACCCTGCCGGAAGAAAGAGGCTCCCCAAGATGGCCCGGCTCGTTGGCCCGGCCCCCAATGCCACCCGCCTGCACAGTGAGTGTCTGGTCCTCTCTGTCCTGGGCAACTCCTTGTGCCCCTGAAGCTGCATCAGGCTGCTTCCCGATCCCCTGTCTGGTCCGCTTAAGGAGAGAAACTTGGGTTTGGGGTGCCTTTGGGCTTGCCAGGCCCTGGCAACTGGGCTGATGGGATCACCAGGCCACCTCACCCTTCTCAGCCAGGTGGCAGGCTTCCCCCAACCCTGTTGGCCAGAAGGAGCAGGGACTGGGAGAGAGACAGGAGGAACTGAAGGTTCAGGGGCACCTGCAGATGGCTGGGTAGCTTGGAGAGCCATCCCCATGGCTGGAAGCTCCATGTGTGGGGAGGGTTCTCAGGTTTGACACCCCAAGATTTCTTTTTTTTTTTGGTGGAACCGGGGATTGAACTCAGACCCTTGGGAAGCGCTTATTCCACTGAGCCATCTCCCCGGCCCCCCAAGATTTCTTTTTTAAAAAATAATTCTATTGAGAAACAAATAGCAATGAGACAGTTTCAAAATCCATTACTAGCACAGTTTCCATAATTAATACATTGCATATTGTTGTGTTAGTGGTTATTCATTGTACAAGATGCAGACATGATATCCTGTCCACAGACACTATTAGAACCAATCTTTCTATTCATCCAAGATTTCTTGAGGTGCAAATTTAAGAAGAACTAGGGCAGGGACCCCCTCCACACACACACAAACATGCACACACACACACACACACACGCGCGCGCACACATGAGCACAAGCTTCTGGGCCAGACGCTCTTGAATCTTCAGGATCCAGGGCTCATATTCCTTCATACCTCTTATGCCCAAAGCCTCCATCCAACTGCACATGCACATGGTGTGCACACCACACACACACACATGCACACACACAGAGGCATAAGCATTCATGTGCAAAGAACTGGCCTTTTCTGGCCTCCAAAGTTCCAGGCCCTCCATGGTGTCTGTCCTGAGTTTGTTCCAATCTCAAGGCTCAAGGTGCACAAGCGTGCATCTGTGACACAGGATCCCAGTTCCCACCCTAAGTTCACAGCCACCCCTGTCACTCTGCCCGGCATCCACAGCCAACTGGGTGAGAGTTTGGATTCCTAACTTCACACCCTGCAGCTGGGTGCTGGCTTCCATCCCTGTGGTCTTGAGGGTGCCCCCTTCCCTGGGCTCCTCCCTTCCTCTCCCCCCTAACCAGCCGGCTCTTAGCTTGGGACGCTCCCAGCCCCCCCCAAAATACCAGGGCCCTGGTATGAGGGGCTGCTGGGCCCGGAGGTTGGCAGGAGAGACGTGGGGGAGCGCCGTGTGGCTTTGGGACTCGCACACTCAGCCCAGCCGCCAAGCAGGGGAAAGTTCAGAGCTGGGAGACTAACAGCTGGCGCTAATGGAGACCACATTGGTGGCTTGGCCTCATGCCCATCCTGAGGAAAGTAGGGGAAAGGGGAGCTGCCCCAGGGGCCGGGAAGTGTCCTCCCAGTCACCCTGGGCCAAGCCGCCCCCATCCCAAGCTGTGACTCACTTGTGGAGAGCCCCTGCACTCCACCCTACCTCTGCTGCTCTTTCTTGCACTTTCCCAGCAGGGTTGGGGGTGGTTGGCCACGCCTACAGCATGGCTGAGGCCAAGTTCCTCTCCCCTTTGCGCCTCCCCCTCAGCCCTGCCCCCTTGCCCTCCAAGCCTTCAGATCGCTGGAACTCCCCACACAGCCTCTGAATTGATTCTTTTCACCTTCCACCCTGGGGCTGACCCCCTCCTTCCTTCCTTCATTCCTCAAACACCCACAGCAGGGTAGGCTCAAGATAGACACTAGGGCCAGCTGTGGACAAAACTTCTTAGGGCCACAGGAAACCATGGGAGAGGTTTTTTTTTTTTTGTTTTTTTTTTCTCAGAACTGGGGATTGAACTCAGGCCCTTGCGCTTGCTGGGCAAGCACTTATTCTACTGTATCTCCCCAACCCATGGGAGAGTTTAGGCAGCTGCAGGGTATCATCTTGTCACCCCGCTGCCCCGCCCTCAGCCAGAGACCCCTCCGGCTTCCCTCTCACCTCAGCCCCTCTGTCTGCGGCAGGGCTGCCACGGGACTGCCAGGAGCTTTTTGAGGAGGGCGAGCGGCAGAGCGGACTGTTCCAGATCCAACCTCAGGGGTCCCCACCATTCCTGGTCACCTGCCAGATGGCCTCAGGTAGGGTATCTGTCCAGCTAGGAAGGCTCTTGTCACAGCACAGCGCTGTGGAGCTCAGAGGGAGAGGGCACGTGCTTGGCATGAGAGAACCCCTGAGTTCCATCCTTAACGATGTAAAAAATTTTTTTAAAATAGCAGGATTTTCCTCACTGCCCCATGGCAACAAGCTCACAGGTCCCTTGCCATTAAGATGTGGAGCAGGAATGGGTTGAGATGGCACACGCCCATAATCCCAGCACTCAGGAGGCTGAGGCAGGAGGATTTCTGCAAGTATGAAGCTTGTGTGTGCTACATACTGATCTCGAGGCCTAACCTGCATAGCAAGTCATTGCCTTAAAAAAAAAAAAAAAAAAAAAAAAAAAAGATCCGCAGCTGGTTCTGCAGACTTCTGCCCCTTCTGCCCTCGGAGTCCTGAGTCACCTCCACACACAGCTCAGGGTTGTCCCGCTTGGGTTTGGGGGCCGTGGGCTCGCTGCAGCCCCTGTGAGGACGCCCCCTGGTGACCTTGTGTCTCTGGGTAGACGGAGGCTGGACGGTGATTCAGAGGCGCCTGAACGGCTCGGTGGACTTCAATCAGCCCTGGGAAGCCTACAAGGCGGGCTTTGGCGACCCCCAAGGTGGGTGATCGCGGCAGGTGGGGCGGGGCGGGGTAGGGCAGGGGGCAGGACGGGCCCCTCTCACCCGGCTGTCCCGTCCTGCGCAGGCGAGTTTTGGCTGGGCCTGGAGAAGATGCATCGCCTCGCTGGCGACCGCGACAGCCGCCTGGCGGTGCAGCTGCGCGACTGGGAGGGCAACACCGAGTCGCTGCGCTTCCCGGCCCGCCTGGGCGGCGAGGACACGGACTACAGCCTGCAGCTCGCGGCACCCGTGGCCACCGAGCTGGGTGCCGCTGCCTCCAGCACGCCCAGCGGCCTCTCCCTGCCCTTCTCCACGTGGGACCAGGACCATGACCTGCGCGGGGACCTCAACTGTGCCAAGAGCCTCTCCGGTGAGCGCCCCAGCCGCTTGCCCTTCTCCTGCCTCAGCTTTCCTGTCTCTACAGTGGGTGCTGGCAGGGGCCATGTCACAGGGGTGATAGGAAATGTCAGAGTGAACCCTTACGCAGAGTGCTGGAGGGGGCAGAGCCACCAAGACAGCCCCTGTCTTGTTCTTTTTGTTTTTTGAGGCAAGGTCTTGCCTTGCAGTGGAAGCTGGCCTTGAGCTCACTTTGTAGCCCAGGCCAGTTTTGGATTCAAGGTGATCCTCCTGCCTCAGGCTCCCGACTTCTGATATGAAAGGCATGTGCCCCCACACCCAGCTCTGAAGTCACCTTCTGATAGGTCAGAAGCTGATAGACTTCGTAATTTCATATCAGTCAACACAATACAAATGGATGCAAAGGATACAGATTGTAGATTTTTTTTTAAAATTTTTGCAACGCTGGAGATTGAACCCAGAGCTTTCACATTGAGCTACGTCCCCAGCCTTTTTCTTTTCTTTCTTTCCTTTTTTTTTTTTTTACTGTATGTGGCACAGGGTCTCACTACACAGCTCAGACTTGTAGTGATCCTCCTGTTTTCAGCCTCTCCAGAGCTGGGATTACAGGCATGCACCACCAGGCCCAGTCTCGGTGGTCAGCTCAGTGTACCCAGGGCAGGGCTAGCACAGCATGTGGTACCAGGGATCGAACCCCAGTCCTTGGTATTGCCTAAGCAGGTGCTCAGTCCTTTGAGCTATCTTGCTGGCCCTTTTTCTTATCGTAAGACACGACCTTATTGGTGGTAGTAGTTGCACTATGCCTGTAGTCCTAGCACTCTGGAGGCTGAGGCAGGAGGATTGCTGCAAGTTCAAGACTAGCCTGGGCTACAAAGTGAGCTCAAGGCTAGCCTGAACTGCATAGTAAGCCTCTGTTTCAAAACAAAGCAGAAGTGCTGGGGATGTAGCTCAATGGCACAGGCGTCTGCCTGGCGAGGGCAAAGTCCTGAGTCTAATTTCCACTACAAAAAAAAAAAAAAAAAAAAAAAGTGACAGGATCCTGTTTAATCACTAAATTGCTGAGGCTGGGCTCAAACTTGCCACCTTCCTGCCTCAGCTTCTCAGAGTCCCTGAATTACAGGCACTCTGTGTCACCCTGTCCAGCAGTAAGTGTTTTTAAGATGTGAAAGAAAAGGTCCATCATGTGTCTGTCAGGTATTAGGCATTGTAGCTGGCTGCAACCTCAGCCGAGCGAGCAAGCTGATTCTCTGTGATTACAGAACGGGGGAATGCCCAAAGCAACCTTGTTACAGTCTGGGGGTCCTGTAATCCTAGCACCTGGGAGGCTGGGGCGGGAGGATCGGCCCTGTTTGATCTTATCCTGAGCTACACAGTGAGCTGCTCTTGGCAGCCTGGGGTCCCTCGGAACACAGTTTGATGATCACTGCTGGAATCTTCCCATCTAAAATGTGTCAAGGGGAAGCCCAGCCTCCTGTCCACCCCGCTGTGCTCCATGTGCAGACCCAGGGATGTGATCCAACCCCTCTCCTCTGACCCCAACAGGTGGCTGGTGGTTTGGGACCTGTGGCCACTCCAACCTCAATGGCCAGTACTTCCACTCTGTGCCCCGGCAGCGGCGGCAGCGCAAGAAGGGGATCTTCTGGAGAACCTGGCGGGGCCGCTACTACCCGCTGCGGGCCACCACGGTACTGCTTCAGCCCGAGGCCGCCTAGCTCCTTGGCGGGCCCAGGGGACAGTGACTTTGGCTGTGGCCCAAAGACATGGCTGCGTTCCTCCCGGAAGCGGTCCAAACCGGATCATCAGGCACCCGGAGCTCAGAGAGGACACGGGGTGCAGAGCCGCTGGAGCGGGGCGCAGGCCTCGGCCGCCGGGAGATCCATGGGGCGCGGATCCCGGAGCGGGCGCGGGGCCAAGCGGGAGAAGGCCGCTTCTCACCTGCCCGAAGAGCAGGGACACAGAGGGACCAGAGGCCGGCCGGGCCGGCCATCCGGGAGCTGTCTTGTGTGGTACTGTCTCCCAGCCATGCCCGTGGAGGTGGCTGGGCGGAGCTCAGAGTTCGTGGAATAAAAGCAACCTGGGAACGTTTTGTTCTTCCTTATCTTTTGGTTTGTTTTAAAAAGCAGGCTGTTTCAGAGTCCAAATAAACATTTTGTGCCTAGGTCCCCAAAGGATAGAGCTGTTATCCCTTCCACCTCCAACTCCAAATCAGGTTCCCTTCCTTTGTTTGTTTGTTTGTGTGACACAGGGGCTCAGCCCTATAGTAAAGTAGCCCTAAAGTCACTGTGTTGTTGCCCAAGTTGGCCTTGAATTCGTGGTGATCCTCTTGCCTCAGCCTCCTGAGTGCCGGGATTACAGGAGTGCACCACCATACATGGCTCGCGTGGTTGGTTATTTCATGGTGTGGCTTCCTTTTTAAAAAAAAAATTCATAGGGGCTGGTGAGATGGCTCAGTGGTCTAAAGCACCTACTTAGAACAAGCTTGGCAAAGCATGGGGACCGCGGTTCAATCCCCCAGCACCACATGCCAGCCAGCCCCGCCCCCTGGTGGGCTGAGCTGGCCACACACACACACACACACACACACACACACAAAATTTGTAATTTATCATTTTTAATTATCATATTAAAATTAAATTATTTTTTAATTATCATTTATCATAATTTTTTAATTTATCATAATTTATCAATCATAAAACAAAATCTCATGTAGTTCACCTGTTAAGATTGCAGATGGGGGCTGGTGAGATGGCTCAGTGGTCTAAAGCACCTACTTAGAACAAGCTTAACAAAGCACAGGGACCATGGTTCAATCCCCCAGCACCACATGCCAACCAGCCCCGCCCCCTGGTGGGCTGAGCTGGCCACACACACACACACACACAAATAAAAGAAAATTAAAAAAAAAAAGACTGCACATGATAGAGAAAATGAAAACCTTTTCTCAGTTGTACTTGAGCATATGAATCACATGTAGCCTTCTGATTTTTTTTTTAATTTTTAAAACTTTTTTAACCTTTTCATTTCTTGCTTAATTTTATTTTTCCCCATGGCCGTGGTGAAATGACAATAGGTTTGGACTTTGAACGCTTGAACTTGAACTTCTGGTCCAAGGGTCCATGGCTGACAGGTTGGTCAGCAAAATTATGATGTAAACACTAATACAGGATTTTTTTTAAACCATATCTACAGATTATCTCTGCTGAATTTTACAAGTATCTTTAAAAAAAAAAGAAAAGAAAAGAAAAGAAAAATTCTTGGACCGGGGAGATGGCTCAGTAGAATAAGTGTTTGCCTGACAAGTACAAGGGCCTGAGGTTAATTCCCGGTTCCACCAAAAAAAGAAGAAGAAAAGAAAGGAAGAAAAAAAGAGAGATTGATTCTTGCTTTGCAGCCCAGGCTGACTTTGAACTTACTATGTAGCCCAGACTAGCTTCAAACTCAAGAGGATCCCCTGTGTGCTGGGTGACAGGGATGGCCACCACATCATTTAGAGTTTTCCTTGATTGATTGATTGATTGATTGATTGATTGATTGACTGTATTTTGGGGAAAGGTCAACAGGGGGTTCAGGGTCTCACTACTAGATTGGACTCATAGTGATCCGCCTGTGTTCAGCCTCCCAAGAGCTGGGATTACAGGTGTGTGTCACCACGCCCAGTCTCAATTGCGGCTCAGTGTGCCCTGGGGGCAGGCTGGCGTGGCAGGCCCAGGGATTGAGCCCTGGCCCCCTGTGCCTTAATCCACTGAGCTATTTGGCTGGCCCTAGAGTTTTCCTTTAAACACACCTTCATTTTTGGTAATACAAATTCAACTAATCTAAGCAATTACTACACACCCAGCCCTGTGGATGGGACATTGACATGAACAAAAAGACCTCTGTCCTCCCTGAGCTGGCCCTCACACCCTCTCCCTCAGAGTTAGGGTGATCTATACTCAATGGCCCGGGACACTTTGAAGCAGCTCTCTCCCAGCCATGACTGGCCTGGATTTTTTTTTTTTTTTTTTCCAGGCAGGTTTTCAGTAGGTAATTTAGGGTAGCTTTATTTATTTATTTATTTATTTTTTGGCAGAACCGGGGATTGAACTCAGATCATTGCGTTTGCCAGTCAAGCGCTTATCCTACTGAGCCATCTCCCCGGCCCCTAGGGTAGCTTTAAATTCACCATGTAACCTAGGCTGGCCTCAAACTCATGGTGATAGCCTGCCTCAGCCTCCCGAGTGCCAGCTAGGGTCACAGACATGTACCACTATGCCTAGCTTTGGATTGGATTTTTCTTTCTTTTTTTTTTTTTTAATTTTTTCCATAATTTTATTGAGAGAAAAAAAGCAATGAGACAGTTTCAAATCAAATTGTTAGGACAGTTTCAATAATTAACACATTGCATACATTCTTCCTACTGGTTAATTGCTGTACAAGATGCAAACATGATATACTATTTACAAACACTATTAGAACAAATCCCCCTATTCATAAAGAGAATGCAACTATGTATCTATCCTAACCATTTTGAATACACAAATACAAAATGGACATTCATCTGTATCCCCTTTTTTGGTTAGTTCTGTCATTCGAATATTATAGGTGTGTTAACTCAGCAAAATATTCTAAAAGAGTCCAGTAGTCCATAATAGTAGATTGGATTTTTCCATACCACTGGTCTTTTTTTTTTTTGGTACTGAGATTTGAACTCAGGATCTAGTGCTTGCCAGGCAGATGTTGTACCGCTGAGCTATCTCCCCAGCCCTTGGACTAGATTTTAAAAATGTATATCTCACCAAATCTGAAAAATGATTATCAGTTGATAATCAAACAATGTCCAGGCTTTAGAATTCTAGTTCATGAGCCAGGCATTGCACATGGCTCTAATCCCAGTTTTAGAAGTGGAGACAGAAAGATCACTGCAAATCTGAGTGTAGCCTGGGTTATGTAGTGATATTAAGGCCAATCTGGATTACACAGGAAGACTCCTATCTCAAAAAAAAAAAAAAAAAAAAAATCTAGGGCCAGCCAGATAGCTCAGCAGTTTAAAGAGCCTGCTTAGGCAGTTGCAGGGGCTCAGGGTTCAATCCTAGGCCTGCCATGCCAGCCCAGCCTGTCCCACCTCTAGGGCATGCTGAGATTGAGACCAGGTGTGGTGGTGAGTACCTGTAATCCCAGCGCTTGGGAGGTTCAAAACAGGAGGATCACTATGATCACTATCTGTATAGTGAGACCCTGCAGACCCTGTACTAAATACATTAAAAAAAAAAAAATTCTAGCTTGTCTGGGGCTGAAGGGAGAGAGGGAAGGAGAGGAGGGGGAGGAAGAGGAGGAGGAGGTGATAAGACAGTGAGAAATGATTAGTGTATTACTGCAAAGTAAGCCTTGTCTCAGAAAATGTGTACTTAAAATCTGCACACTTCATTGTTCATACATTTTACTTTAAGAAGTACAGGGGCTGGTGAGATGGCTCAGTGGTCTAAAGCACCTACTTAGAACAGGCTAAGCTAAGCAAATCACAGGCACCAGGGTTCAATCCCCCAGCACCACATGCCAGCCAGCCCCGCCCCCTGGTGGGCTGAGCTGGCCACACACACACACACACACACACACACACACACACACACTAAAAAATTTAAAAAAAAAAAGTACAAAAAAAAAAAAAAAAGGACCAGGGAGAAAGCACAAGGTCCTGAATTCAATTCCTGGTAGCACCACCACCAAAAAAAAAAAAAAAAAAAAAAAGTTTGTTCTAAAAACTACCAAAAAAGCCACACACATACTGGGCTCTGATTAATCACACGAAGGCTGACGCTTCATTTATGTATGTATTTACTTATTCATTTAGTGTTGAGGCAGGATTTTACCACAAGGCCAGGTTGGTCTGGAACTTGCCATCCTCCTGTCTCAGCCTCTTGAATGCTGGGATCGCAGGTGTGCGCCACCACACCCAGCGCGTGCTGAAGTTTTAGAAGTGTAGTGGATTCAAGCCTTCAGTTTTCTTTGAAATAATTTTTTTTTTTTTTTCCGGAACTGGGGATTGAACTCAGGCCCTTCCACTTGCCAGGCAAGCACTTATTCTACTGAGCTGTCTCTCCGGCCTCTGAATTTAAAAAGAGAGAGAGAGAGAGAGAGAGAGAGAGAGAGAGAGAGAGAGAGAGAGAGACACGCTGGGGGTTCAGTTTCGTGGTAGAGCATGTGGTTGGCACAGCAGAGGCCTGGGGTTCTTCTTCCTGCACTTAAAAAAAACAGGCGGTGGGTTATAGATGGGCAGAGCGATCTACGAGCAAGCAAAGGCTGGATGGCGGAACATGGTGGGGGCGGGAGGTAGCTATTCTCCGTACAAGGCTTCCCACTTTTCTAAGTGTTCAGTTTTCTGCAGTAAAATTGGCAGGGGTGGGGAGGGAGGTTCCAGCCAGCCCTTGTTGCTTTCTGAGGTCTCTAACCCTGCTTCTGTGCTCTGAAAAAGGGGCCAGGGAGAAAGCTCAGCAGCATAAGGGCCTGCCTGGAGAGAGCAAGGTCCTGAGTTTGATCCCTGGTACTGGAAAAAAAAAAAAAGAAAAAAGAAAGAAAGGAAGGAGGTGAAGTCGGGTGCGGCAGCTCACATTGCTGTCTCAGTTCCTTGGGAGGCTGAGGCAGGAGGATCCTGAATCTGAGTCCAGCCTCCACGATTTATTTGTTTATGTATATTTTCAGACAAGGTCTCAGCTCCATAGTTCAGGGGATTGGAGCTCACTTCATAATGCAGGCTGGTCTCAAACTCTAAATGATCCTCCTGCCTCAGGCTCTGGAGGGCTGGAATTATAGGCATGTGCCACTATGCCTGGTTTATTTTATTTTATTTTATTTTAGGTACCAGGAATCAAACTCATGACCTCATGCTTGCCAGGCAGGCGCCAAGCTATTCCTCCAGCCTCAGCCTTAATAAGTTAGTGAGCTTATATCTTACAACAAAGTGATGAAAAGGGACATGCGTGTAGCTCAGAGCAAAGGCCCTGTGCTCCATCCCCAGTGCTGGGGGCAAGGAGGAGCCACTCCAAGGCCCTGCACCATAGCACAGGCGAGTAATTCCAGCTACGTGGGAAGCTGAGTCAGGAGAGTTGAAAATTCAAGCC